CATGACAATAGGGCACATGAATTTGGATTTTGGGAACTGGTTACAAACTGGAACAAAACCCCTAATTTACGTTGAGCTAAACCCACCTGTTTTTCATGGATCACTTTCTCCATTTAAAAATATAGTCCAGATTTGAGCTTTGTGCTGAGCAGATCTGAAAACAAAACACAAAATCAACAGGGCAGTCCTCTTTGGTGGTCAAGCATATTTTTTTCTGACTGTGACTATCAAGAGGGCCCCAGGGAAACAGCTTGCCAGCAAGGTACAATGGTTTCTTCATCTGCTGAGAAAGTCCGTTCCTCAAAATGAAGATGCTTCGACTGTCACATTTGGACTACAACACCCAGAATTCCCAGTCAATGGCCCTGCTGGATGGGAATTCTGGGAACTGCAGTCCAAAAGCCCCTGAAGGCCACCAGGGTGGGGAAGGCCGATTAAGATGACATCTCATATTCTTTGATTGGCAATATGTAAGGAAGTGATGCTGGCGAACACAGATTTACCTGCCGAGCTAAGGACAGACAGGTATTTCTGTGGTTTGTTGGAGATGCAACATCTGCATTTCAGGCAATTCAGATGGCAGCAAGGCAATTCGACTCTGCATTTAATGATCCTTGGGGGTTACTCCTTAAATGTTAGTGTTGTACTTCACTTACTTCAAATTGTCATGTGCTAGGTATGGGTGCCTTGCCCCACCGCATTCATCCTGCTGAATACAGCCCTGGGAACTAGCCTAGGAACCATTCTCAGCACTTTTCCCAGCATGCCCCTTGCTCCATTCCTGGAAGGTTTCATGAGTTTAAGAGATGAATGACAACACAAAAGTCCACAATTTGAGCTTGTCTCATCCTGCAACAGCAGACGTAGGGAAAGCCCCATCTGTTTGATTTGTTACCTCTGGAGGCAAACTTTAGTGCCTACCCAGACAAGGAGGAGGCCTGGTGATCCGTTTGGACTCCGATGATCTCATGGAGAAAATCCTAAAGTTCGAGATTGGCATTGGCCTGTTCTTGCTCTCATCGACTGATTCAGCTTCAGCATTGTCAGGAAGAGTCCAGGAAGCTTCATGATATTCAGGCCTTTATGTATTTATTTATTGTTTATAATCCACATATACAACTTTAGCCTTGTAAAACGGGTGGAGAAAATACTCTAGATCTTTATTTCTGTGCTTTGGTTGCATTTCTAGTTGATAACTGCTCATAAAAAGCTACAGGGTTTGGAAGAAAGGCAGGAGAAACCTAGAAACCAGAGTCAGGATACTCTCCATTCTTCAGTGGTTGTTCTCCTTATCTTTCCTTCTCCATGAAAGTTATGAGAATCTGGGTGTTTAAAAAGAACTGGGGGACAGAGATGATTCACTTTGAAGTAATCAAAGAGCCCAAATTGGAAACCAGTTTTGATGCCAACTTTACCTCATGTTCTCAGGTTGTTCAGCATGAGGATGCATGAAACACACCTTTTTCTGCTTGGATTGCTTCCAAGCCCTTCTGTTTGGCAGCTGTAAAAATTGATTTCAGTTTGGAAATGGCTCGCCTTCCTTCCACAGTAGGTGCGGATCGGGATTGCACAGTTTGCAGGCAAAGAAGGGTATAGCCGGTCTCTTTTTCCTTCACCTGGTGACTGTTTTGGATTTTCTTGGCTTAAACATGTGTCTTTTATTTTATTTCATTTTTTGATCATCAAGAGTTGTGGCTACAAGGAAAGGCTAATTTTCCTTTTCCTCATAAGTTCGTTCTTGAAGGCAATGAGCTCAAGGGGTAAAAGGTACAACTTTTTTTCTTTCTTAGACTGCTAGAACCTCTTAGTCATCCTCATATTTCCTTAAAATGCAGAACAGGGCTCTAAAGAAAAGGAGTTGAGGTGGCACTTGTGCTCTGACAACAGAAAGGGGGTAATATTTTTCTGAATGTGTGTGTGTATATATTTGTGTGCCTGTCATTAACGGATGCTGTCTCCTAAAAGACACCTCTACTTGTAAAAACGGGCAAGTACAGGAAGGATTTTTTTTGGGGGGCGGGGGGGGGGAGATTTTCAGATGGAAATATTCCAGGAAGGGGGCAGCGCAAAGTGAAGCACCTGTGGGCAAAAGCCAGACCCTAAGAGCAACTTGCGCCTTTATTTCAGCAAGTGCCCATGGACTGCAGAGCAGTGGGGCAGAGGCCCTTCTGCCAGAGATTCGAGGCTCTCACCCTGGCAGATCACCCCCAGAAGCTGCCTCTGGTCCTTCCATCGATTGTTCGGTATGTCCCCCTCCATAAAAAAAGAGAGGTGGGCTTGAAGTTCTCCCGTTTTTATATTAACATGTGCTAAATTCCACACTGAAATCCTCTTTATAAAGCAATGCATTTTGCAAACAATCTCGCTGAAAATGTCTCCCTGATTCTTTTCTCCCTCTTCTGGTTGAAACATAAATTGCAATTCATAGTTTCCGAGATACTAGGTTATTTTGCAAGAACTTGTCTTCTTATCAGACCAGCTTCCATGGTTCAAGAGCGCACGTTTTCAGGTTCTACCTTTTTCCAGAAAGATGGATGCATGTCTAAACTGACACAAGAGAAAGTGTGAGTCTTTCTCACACTTTCTGCTGGCTGTGCTTACATGAACTGAATTGCCTAGGTGACGTGTGTGTGTACGCACACATCTTTTCCTTGCATGCCAAGGCTAGATGGATGTCTGAACGATTAACAAATCATACTGTGCAGATCTGACATGGTCAAAATATTCTTCAGCTGCCTGGTCAATCGCAACCAGCATGGCCAATGGTCAGGAGCCCTTAAAGCAAGAGCAAAGATACTCTCCCTGATTGATTAATTATGCCATAAAATCATTTGATGATCAATAGAAACAGGCAAGTGGAAAGAATATACCACTACAGGAAAATATAGATTTATTTTATAACCAGATGTTTTGTTCACATAAGATTGGGGACTATAATAGCAAGAACTGTTCTCTAAAATAGCAAGGTTTAGTCTCTTTTCAGATTTATTAAGCTCATCAGTGCAGAATAGGCCAAAGATTGCTTTAATCCTTTTTTTCCCTTTCCTGCCTCACTGTTTTGCATTGTCTATATAGAACAGTGAAGAAGGAAGTGTCAAAACAGAATATATCTGAGAGCAGAGGGGAGGTTTTTAGGTGCGACTCTCTGTGTTTCCAAACCAAAAAACTGAATCAAATAACTCAAACTGGGCTCCATTCTGGAATTTTGACCCATCTAAAGAAATAATGCACAGCACCACTTTAAAGTATCAAGACACTAACAACAGTATTGGCTAATTCTCATGTATACATCAGGGATTTAATCTGAAAGTAGAAAGTAAAGTTTGTGGTTTTAAATCTTGATTAATTAACCAAGCAAGCAAGCAACCATCTTTTGGTTAATGTTTTTCAGGCTATTTTTCAGGCAAATGCAAACAAACAACAACAATAAATATATCTCGTTTAATTAGTTTTATGGGATTAAGCAAATTTAACTATGGCAGTTTATAAACCTACCATATTCAGAGTCAGTTTATTTTTGCAAAGCTTGAGAGGGGCAAACAACCAGAATGTCATGCTTTCCTTGTGAATATTTGCTGGCTGTTGTTTGAAACAAACATTGGATTGGAATCTAATCATTAGGTGGATGTTTGCTTTTTATATACTAGGTCTTTTTTTCTGTCTACTAAAATCATGTTGTTTGCTTGTATTATATTAGGAAATCTTACTTTCAAAAGATAAGCCCCAGTCTGAATAAATGGGGAGAATGTATGAACATAAGAGTTTTGCATTGTTAAACCAAAGGTGTTTCCAGTGCAGATGCCCTTCAGAAGTCTGGGTGCAATATCTCCAAGAAGGACCATCTTGATATAGAGCTGGCAGCAGAACCGTTTTGGTGCTTTTGGAAGTTCTTCCAGGCCAACATAAATATTACAGCCCCTTTCTCTGCCCTTAAGGGTTAGTGGAGCTGAAAAGTTATTCAGGTAGTTCTCCTAGTTCTTCATCTGTGAGTTAGACCAGGCTATGAAGCTTCTTTTCTTGCCCCTTTGCTTGGGCACTGTCCTACCAGTTGATAAAGTCCACAGCTAGAAATACAGTGGGAACCAGAGAGAACCAGAGTGGCAGAGTAGTTGGCGTGCTGGACTGGGATAAGTAGATCTGAGTTCTAGTCCCCATTCAGTGTTGAAACTCAGTGGGTGACTCTGGGCCAGTCATGGACTCTCAGCCCAACTTAACACCCACAGTTCTTGTGAGGATTAAATAGAGAGGTGATGGAGGAGGATTATGTAAGCCATCCTGGGCTTCTTGTAAAAGCAAACAGGTGGATCGGAATATAATAAATATTTACATGCATGCATAGTCATTCAGACTGGAGAGCTGTCCTAGCCATGAGTTACAGTACCATTCTCACCTCAGATATGGACCTCTTACCTACCAAGCAGATGGAATGCTGTCTGCGATATCCACAAATATAATTGCTACAGGTACGGAAGGAAGGAAGGAAGGAAGGAAGGAAGGAAGGAAGGAAGGAAGGAAGGATTTTAAGCAAGGTGCCTGATATCTGTTCAGGGGTGGCGTGGTGGACAGGGGAAGCAGGCCTCGTGAAACATTTCTCAGCTCCATCTGTAAACAGTGTGTCGGTACAATGTCCAAATGTATCTTTCTACAGTCAGTGCTCTGTGCAAATGCCACTGGTCACTCAGTAGCCCTGGCACAATTCCTCTTCTCCACATATGTCCACCAGAATTTCCCTCTATGGCCAGATGTTCCAGCAAGGCAGATTAGCGGAGTCCAATTCCACAGCCAGTCTACAGAAGCCATCATGTGGCCTTCCTTCCCTGACCTGGTGCCCTCCAGACATGCTGGACCACAGCTCCTGTCATCCCAGGCCAGTGGGGTTGGCAAGCCAGCTTTCCATCCCCAAACGGACTCCCCAGCCTCCAGCCTTCCCTCGTCAGTTCCTTGCTTTTGACATTGGTTGGCTTTGCGTAACGTGGTGCTTCCTTTGCTCTCCTCCACAGATTAAAACAGAAGACCTCAGTGACTCCTTGCCGACAGACATCCCTTCGAGACTGAGCCATCTATCACAAGGGCCACCCATGATGCCCGGGGGGCAAATTACTGGGGTGAGAAGTCCAGGCTCTTCTTGCAGGCAGATGCTGGATTAAAGCCATGGCAGCCCAAGAGCAGAAGTCCCTTAAGGGCACAATGGGTCTCAACAGGTGTCTTTCCCAGCCCTGCCTGGTGTAGTGGAGATCGCCCCAAGGGTCTTTGGTCTGCCACACATGTGCTTCACTTCTCTGAACCTTCCCTTCTGAGAATGCTCCCCCAGATTAAGAAAGCACTCCCTGCATACCTACAGCTAGCATGTAAGGGAGAAAGGTTTAGCCAAGGTAGCTCCCTGATGAACTACATTTCTACATCTAGGATTTGTTTTCTCTGGAGTGACTTCAGATGACCCTTTCAGAAAGCAGGAATGCGTCACCAAAGCAGAGAAGACAAAACAGAAGACCAATTTACATACATATTTGCATATGTCTATTTCTGCGCAGGTCTCCAAATGCAGGCATAATGGCTATGAAGCAAACAGAAATGTTGTATTTCTTTCTGGGTTGCTTATTTATTTACGTTACTCCAATTCTGCTTGATATCCTAAAATCTCTAAGCAGCTTACATCAAAAATACATATAATTCAATGCAAAGAACAATGCAAAGTGAAATAGAATAATATATGCATGGATACCTAAATAATAAAGAGCAGAACAGATCAGTGCCATGGTTGATTACAAGTTAAGGACAGCAGGTAGGTTCTTCCAATGTGGCCAAATCAACTGTGTGCTTTGCTCGCCTCTCAAGGCCCTTTTCCACGTACATAAGAACCCTGCCAGGACACACCAAGGAGCTTATCCAGTTCAGGAATTTCTCTAGTCCCAGGTTAAAGCCATCCAAATTCATGTCCATCACTAGATTCCATAGTTTAATGATGCACTTTTGTTCTTCCTTCTGTGGGTTCTGTTCAAGGATAGGCTGGACATGCACATGGTGGGCATGTCGTGAGCGGAGCCGGCTGGAGCCGGGGGTCAGACTAGATGGCCCAGGAGACCCCTTCTGACTCGCTCCGTTTGTATGTTTCTATGTTATTTATCCTTCAGCCAGACTTGGACTGGGCAGCCCTTAAAATAGAGGAAAACCTCAAATGGAGGGCTGTGTTCTTTCAAACAGGGCATGCAATCTCTCCATCTGGAGAGATATTCAAACATCCAACTCCCCTCCCACTGTCTGAAGTGGTTTGAGCCAGCAGTCAGTGGTGTGTTTTGCCTCTGAGTGTAAGACTGTCCAGCTTCAGGTGATGCGTGTATCATTTTGGGAAAGAGAAGAACTGAGCATCTGGGAGGGGGGTGTCCCCCAAGCTGGGCAGGCCATGGAGCAAGTGCATAACTGTTTGAAGGTTCTCCATCATATTGGATTCTTGTGCTGCTTCTTCTTCAGGATATGAGTTCTCTTCACACGCTGCAACAACTTGTACAAGTTCCCGGTCACATGCAGTCTGTCCCCCTCTTCCTCCTTTCTCAGGGCCCGGGAGGGCAGCAAGGTATGTGCCATTCTTACCTGTTCCTCTGTACTGATGGCCTGGCTGTGAAGACAAAAGCGAAAGCAAGCACGTTTGGGGTTGTTTTATTATTAATATTATTATTATTATTATTATTATTATTATTATTATTATTATTAGAACATTTCTATGCCGCCCCTTGCCGAAGCCTCGGGGCGGCTTACAAACACAATAAAATACAATAAAATCCAAAAATAACTATATAAAATTAAAATTAACAATATAAAATAAATAAAAATATAAAATATAAAAGTTTTGACCATTCCCATTCAATTTGATAGAAAAGAAGCGGCTTCCAAAACATAATTCAGAGTATGGCCCCACCCCACCCCCACCCCGTTGAAGCTAAGCAGGTCTGGGCTGGGCTGAGCTTGGAGGGGAGACCCCCCAGGAGTCGCATGTAATGGCCTTGAGAGAAAGCAGAGATAGAAATATAATAAATATATGCACAATCCGAAGCAGAACATTTTGGAGAATCAGTTTTGGGTTCTTGTGCTTTTGAGATAGTTGCGGAGTTGGCATGAGTGCCTGCTTTTCCATTTGGCATAATTTCTCCAGCGGACTTCTTGGCTTAGACGTCAAGAGGAGATTCTTCCACTATCAGTTTCCCAGTTCATGGAGGCCAGGCAGCAGCTTTGGCCACCTTGCAGTCTGGAAAGCACAAAAGTCGCACCCAAGGAAATTCTAAATCAGTTATGAAATGCACTGTCCATTTTCTCTGAGAAGCCTGGAAATGGTTCACTTCCCTCCCTCCCTTAGTCCCCAGACATAAAAAGCCCCTTGCAGAAGTTGTTCTACCTTTTTATTTTTTGGGAGGGTGGCCACCTTCTTCCTTTCCCTCCTAGTAATGCTCCAGAACAATGTTAGGTAGGGGACATTGTGGAGGATGGCAAAATAAAATAATAATTGAAAATAATAAATGGGTTAATAACAAAAGGAAGGGACCAATTTGCCATTTGCAGTGGCAGCACAAAACACCACCACCCTGCATTTTTAGGAGAAAAAGGAAAAGCAGATACTCAGCAGCCTCTGCCAATGGGATGGTGCATTTTGAGAGGCCTCAGACAGATCGGATATAAACATGCATGGCGTGGGGATCTGCTGAAAGCTGGCAAAGTCCATTCTGACTGACAGCAGCTCTCCAAGTCCTGAGGCAGAAACCTTGCTTTTGCACGGTATTTCACATGAATTTGGGGCTGCGAGTCATTCCGGGCGCAGCTCCTGGAGCCACAGAGTCATCCTTTCCGGGAGCTGCCTGTCAATCTTTTCCTTTCAGAATAAACTGTATTGACTTTCATCTATTCATATGCCCGCGCTCTCCACGAGCATCATCCGTCAGCCACCCTGCAGTGAGGAGGCCAAGTCATTCGGCTAATTTTGGTCTGCCTCATTTAGATCCTATCTCGTAGAGCACTGTAAAGATATTAAACGCGCCGTCTCAGTCTTCTGCAAGACCCGCTTGCCTCCTGCACGCTTAATTACATTTGCATGCGTGCCCCTAATTTGCAAGGTGCCTTGCAGATGAAGTGGTAGCCAGCCCTGGCCCTGGGGCTTCGACTGCTCGGTGTTCTCTCTCTGCCTCCCGAGACATGACATAAGGAGGGAAGTCGCCAGGGCGCTGCGCAACCGGGATTATGCGGCTGAGGAGCAGGGTCTGGAAGCAGCGAGAGCGATACTGCGCTGCGATTGTTGTGGTGACTCAGTCCACCACAACTGAAGCGGGACACTCCTTCACTGCCGTCTGCACTGTCAGCACTGTCTGAACCCCAGGAACTTTCAGCTCAGCCAGCCACTCCCTCCCCGCCCCTCCCCAGGACTCCCTTGCCGCTGAACCAGCCGCCCGCTGCGCTGCCGTTGGCTCCTTCTGCTCCTTCGGCTTGCTTCTGGCCCCCCGGAGGAGGCTAACCTGGCTTCCCTTCCCCATCCGGAAGCCTCACTTGGCCCAGAGTAGAATTGCAGCGGGGATATCCGAGCCTCGGAGGGGCTTGGAAATGCCTTGCTTGCACGCATGCACACCCAGTGCCGCTTGTGCTGGTGCTGGGTTTTCCTTTGGTTTTGTTGAGTTCAGCAACAACATTTGTTGCTGGCATATAAAGGCTGGAACAACTCGGGACCAAGTTACCCAGAGGGTGGCTTGCCCAGCACAGACCTGCTAAATAATCTCTACAGATATCGGAGGAGGGCCTGTGACCAGTTCCACAACGTGCGGCTTGCCAGCCGGCAGCAGCCTGGAACAGGGCTTTCCCGGGGCTGGCACCCACTTGGCTGAAAGCCTTCTCCCTTGACATGCCAGAGGTGCCGACTGCGGCACGCCTGAGCCACCAGTGAGAGACCAGCTTTTCCACTCAGGCCTTCACTGGCTTATTTAATTAATTAATTAATTAATTAAGAGTTTCTTTATTTAGAGTTTTTGTATGCCGTCCCCTTGCTATATAGCCTTGGGATGGCTCACACAAATAAATATAATACAAATACAAATACAATTAAAACCCGGAAACACCCTGGCTGCACAATTAAAACCTATAAATATTATACATTGTTAAAATATTGTTTGCATAAAAAGGTTATTGCACTGCCCAGGTTCTTGATATGTTTTATTTGTGAATGTTTTGATTCCCAAATGTTCTTTTGATTTTAAAGGCTATATGTATCAGATGTATGCAGTGACAGGAAAAAGTCACAAGTGTTCTTAACCAAGGAGTTGATGTATTTCCTTCTTTTAAATAAGCACTTTTAAAGTTTTGTATTTTAATTTTTATGTTGCAAATGACTCTGGGTGATTTTTTTTTTTTTTGCTCTAATCACTTGGTATAGAAAATGAATGATTGAATAAATCAAACAACCAGCAAGGATCCTTTACCACATGAGAAGCTAAAATCTGGCCAAGATGTTAGTTCAGACACCTGGAAGCAGAACACCAAACAGAATAGCTGGGATCCAGCAGAAAACCTGTATACAACTTTGCTCTTTCCCAGAAACGCACATTTTAATTTTTTATTTTGTATTGTCATTGTGTCATGAATTCCCACGCAGATGCTGGCTTGTCAGCAGAGTATAAGGACGGCTATCAGGAGTATGGTTTATGTTTACAAACTTGTCATGTTTGCAATCCTAGCAGTTTCTACTTTCAGGAATATTTGCTATTCCCTCCATTTGTATTTTTGTATATTAAATATGTGGTGTTGCTGTTTTAAATCTGTACTTCAACATGCACATATTCCAAAAATTCTTATTTTCATGCTGGGAGGCTAAAGCACACTTTTGGAAAACTTGCACAGAAATGTATGTTTTCCACATTCAAATGAGCCAAAACCCAGGCTGAAAATGAGTGGAAGGTGCTTCCAAGAACAGTTGATGAAATACAGCGGTGCAAGAGCAGGAGGGATGGCTGAGGCAGTATTCATTTTGTTGGTTTGTGTGTCTGCCATGCAAATCGCGAAGCTGGGAAAAGCCTGGCGCACGCCCCAGATGAAAATCTGCTGCCACATCTTACTTTTCTTTTTCATGACCTGCCCGTCTTTGCCCTGTGCGGCAGGTCCCTGTGCTAAGATGCTATTCTTTCTGGTGGAAGTGGCTAAGTCCCAATTTGGAAACACATAATGAAGACCGGGGATGGCAGCCAATTTGTCTGTTTGGTGACATGTCATCAATCCAATCTGCATATATTTTTCTGCTGTTGTTGCACCATTCAGCTCTGGAAGTGTGAAAGTTTCGCTGAGTGGCCTTAGGCAAGGCTGCATTTCACAGCCTCAGCTGCCTGTCTGCAAGGCAGGGATGCTGCAGCTGAACCGAATTACCTTTCAGGACTGGTGCAAGGGTTACGGCAATAAGGAGAGCCAAGCGCTTTGGATGCTCCTAGTGCATGCTCCTAGTCTGGGGGTGATGCACGGTGGACATGGAGGCTTATGCCTGAGGGGCACACGGGAATGTGCCAGAATGCTGCAGCAGTTTGAGATGCTTCCCCACACAAGGCAAATATCGTTCATTCCATCACTCCTGGAAGCTGGTGGGGCCTTTCCTGCATGTCAGCAGCTTCCAGGGCTGACGTGTTTTGCAGCCGCTCGCTGGGTGTTTTTTAGAGCAAGGATAATGAGGTGGGAAATCATAAAGGTGCAGCAAACTGGAATAAAGGTTCGTGTAAATTGGCAATCACACTATAACTCAGCATGACTTTGCGGTTGTATAATGCAGCCCATAGGAAGGTGGAGAAAGCCAAACCTCAGGATGGGAGGATCGTAAATAAATTTCCTTCCCCTGCAAAGAGAACAGCATGTGCTGCCTCTGTGAAGTGTTAGGTTAAACTCCTCGTGCAGAGAAGGTCTGGATGTTTTTATCTGTTAGCCATTAGTATTCTAATAGCAGTGGGTACTTTGCTTCACACATTCACTACATTAGCCGTGGAAGGAGAAGAAAAGTGGATTCACATATACATGTTGTCTATCACTGACTGTGGATGAGTAATGTTCGTGTATCCTGGAGGGTCTGAGACACTGTATTTTGAGGAGAAGGCAGAAGAAAGGAAGGTCTCCCTGCTTAATTAGAGGCAGATTCTTCACTGGACGGATGGATGGATGGATGGATGGATGTCCCCCAAAATGGGAGACTGGTTGTTTTCACTGGTCCAGCTTCTGCTGAGTTTGCTGAATGGAAACCTTTGATTCCTCAGAACTTTGGTGCCTCCTTCCTCAGGGTGCTCCTCCTATTTTGTGAAATGAAGATCCCCCAGTAGAGGTACCATCTCTGACCCAATCTCTCTCTCTCCCAGCTCTTCAGTCAAACCTCCTCTCCTTTCCTCAGCAACAGAGTGGGATCCTTCTTCCACAGCATGGACACAGCTTAGCATCTCAGGTACCTCGTCTTGGCTGTCTCACACCAGCTGTCAAATGACTGCATGTCCTTAGCAGCACTGGAGCTTGTTCTCATTTGCCTGTCACGCTGCTGTAGCCCAGCAATCCCACAGTGGCATCAGATATTAAACCCCACTGCCATCAGCTACACGATCCGTTGCTGCCAAAGAGTAAATCCCGCTGCATGCCAGCTATCAAATCCTGGGAAACATCACAGAAACCAAACATAGACTCCCAAAACCCCAAGTCCAAATATTCAGTGATTATTTGAGATTTTGAGGGAAATACTCAGCAGATAATGTACTGGCACAACATTTGTGCAATGGCTTTTTTAAATGTCCATTTAAATACCCTTGGTTTAAAGATCCATATTAAGAGCAGAAGGAGGCATTGCCATGCCTTTGCAGGCTCTGCATCATCACGATCCCTTCATGGCTTGTGTTTTTCGCAGGCGGTGGGGCGTCCCGGGCACCCAGGGTCATCGCTGGAACCCCACCTGGAGGTCCCTCAACATTTACAAGTTGCCAAACACTTGCCCTCCTCAGTGGTGGCAGATGAAGCGAACGACCTCGAGGAGCTAGAAAAATTTGCCAAGACTTTCAAGCAGAGGCGGATCAAGCTTGGATTCACCCAGGTGAGGACAGTCTCTTCCAAGCTGCTGTTTGGAAGGTCACCTCGCCCACAGGAAAGACCTTTCTCTACCAGGTCCACTGCAATGTCTCTCTGAATGACATAAAAAATGGGATCTTGGACATTCAGCCAGATGTGCAGGAGGCTGGAGCATCTCTCCTCCTTCACGAGGAGCAAGCATAGTTTCTCCCATCCATGAACACCCTTCTCCAGGACTGCTTCTTGGGGGAAGGAAGGACGGAATTTGGGTATGGCATCATTGGGCACTACCAAGACCCATAGCCAGTGTCAAGCCTTGGAAATCCCTGGCCTTCCTGCTCTCCTTTCCACCTAGATCATCTGCTCTCCCCAGGTCCAAGGAGAGTGTGGACCAGGGACAGCTTCCTCCATCTCCCTGCGCTCTGGTTCATGTTCTGTTCCACTTCCAATGGAAGGGGCAAAGAAATGAGCTGGCGTGTCAGTGGCAGAGGGGAAATACTCATTTATGGAGGGGATATATTATTGATCAGTGGCCCCAAAAGCTCTTGAAACAGAGGAAAAATGACAGGGAGAGAGGAAGAAAAGACACCTAGAAGGGAAGGACAGAGAACAAGAAACAGAGGCACTTTGTAAACTCTGGGTGATCATATTGGCATATTGTATAATTAGTATACGGTGCTTCGATAAAATCGGAAAGGAAAGGGATTCATCTTCATTTTCTAGGAAACACCTTGGGAAGCACCACATGTTCAAGGGCAGCTGCACAAACAATTCCTACTGTTTTCAGGGGTGGTTGACACCACACACACACACCTGCCACTGCAGGAAATGTGTTCAGCTGCACAAAAGGGAGGAAATTTTCCCTCTTCTTTTTGTGGGTCCCACAAGCCATGCAAGTCCCCAAACAACAAGCAACAAGTGAGAAGTCAGAGCGAAGCACCTTGGAGGCAGAGCTGAGGTTCCTCTGGGTCAGAAAAGATGGCAGTGGAAAGAGAACACCATTGCCCTTTTCCCAGTGAATCTGAGGGTGGTGGAACTAGACACCGAGTGGGAAACCAGTGCTTCAAGCTCCTTTGCTGTTTCTCGACCCTCCTCCCACCTGTAGGGTGACGTGGGCCTAGCCATGGGAAAACTCTATGGAAATGACTTCAGCCAGACCACCATCTCTCGCTTTGAGGCCCTCAATCTGAGCTTCAAGAACATGTGTAAGCTAAAGCCTCTGCTGGAGAAGTGGCTAAGCGATGCAGGTAGGACCAATGGCGATGTGTATTTTCCCTCTGGACCACTCCATGTTTCTCCATTTCCGTGTTTGGTTCATGCATTTCCAGAAAAGCATTGCCTTCAACTTCTTTCCAGATGTTTTCTGGCATGTTTTCAAAGTTCTAAATTGATTGGGATCTGATCGTCTTTTGTTTTCCCATTAGCCAAAAGTATTTCGGGTGAAACATTAGATTAAAAAAATAAACGAAAAAGTATTGCAGCCAGGCTACGATCCTATACCTGGGAGTAAGTCTTGTTGAACCAAGTGGGACTGACTTCTGAGTAAACATGGATAGAATTGCACATCTGTGCGGCCAGATGCTGTATTCAAATATATTCAAGGCTTTGTAGTTGTTACATGCCATCAAGCCATCTTTGATTTGTGGCAATCCTATGAATAAATGCCCTCGGAAAGTCCTGTCCTTGCTCAGCTCTTGTAAACCCAAGACTGTGGCTTCCTTTGTGGAATCCCTTCATCTCACTGCCAACCTGCCTCTTCTCCTGCCTCCAGCTTTTCCTCGCATTCTCGTCTTCTCCAGTGAGTTTTGCCTTCTCATGATGTGTCTGAAGTATAGCAGCCTCAGTTTCTATCATTCTTGCTTCCAGGAGAAGTTCTGACTTGGTTTGACCCAGGACCCACTTGTCTGTCTTTCTGTTAGTCCAGGGTATTCCCAAAAGCAGTGCTTTTGATAAAAAATATAATTTGTCCCTTACGTTAAGGATGGGCCACCTGTGGTCCTCCAGATGTTTGAGCCTCCAACAGCTATCAGCCCTCACCAATGGCCACATCATTTAAGACTGATGGGAGGTGGACACCGAAACATCAGGTCCACCCCTGCCTTGCACTGTTTGAAAGTTTCAGGGGGGAAATGAAAGCACTGAAACCGATCAAATGCACCTGTAGCAAGGTTAAGTGTGTATAGGCAGACAGGAATACACAGATGTTGCTCTATTCTTACGCAATTTGGGATTTTCGGCAGTTCCTATTTCTTCCAGGGCTTGGTTTGGTTTTGTAGATTTTACCTAACTTTATTGGCTTTGCAGTTTCAACATGTTCTTGGGCTGGAGACTTATAGGACAAGGGAGGGAACTAAATCTTACATCTCCTGAGATTTTCAGGCTTCAGCAGGTATATAAACTGATGCTGCAGTTTTGCTGAAAGAGATGGGAAGGCTCGTGGATTGTACCACTGCGTTGGTCCACACGAGGGCGATAGAGTGAAATGTATTCTCCAAACAGGGAGGATAAATGAATACATTTTCCAGAATTAACCTGGGAAAACAATGCCTATTTGGAAGCACACCAGAGGTTTTCATCTGGCTGGCTGTTAAATAGAACAAAGACAGAAGGTGGACAAAATGAAAACGAAGTTGTTGCGAGACACAATAAAAGCTTCCTTGAAGTTCTCTTATGATGGATAAAAGAGTTACACGTACATCCCAGCCTTTAAGTATTTCCCAATGAGGTCTGATTGTACATTTGCCCTGCCTCACCCGCAGAAATTTACAGGACAACTGGACCATACCACCTTGAATGTATAGCCCTCTTGTGTTTACCCGTCAGTGCCACTGTCTTTTGCTTTGGTTTGCATTCTTTTGCATTCTGTTGCCAGAAAAAAAGTCATTAAAAAAGAGAATACTTTGCTTTTTGGTAGTTCTAGGGGCTTTTCCATGGAAGCACTACTAGGTATTTAGATCTCAGATCATTGTGGTGAGAGATATAAAGACAAAGATGTGTTGCCACAAACCTGGCCATCAACATGGACGAGGGGATTCTCCAACTCGTGACAGGTGAACCTTGTCAAAGCCTGCTTGGCATGATAACCTCACATTATCTGCAGCTTCAGCAGCAGGATTCTTCTCACTGCCAGATGCTGGGCAACCTCGGGGAGGAGGCTGGAGTGCTCCCATCCCGCCACGAATGTCCCACTTGGGCGTCCGTAGGTCTTTTGACCAATCCAGCACACACGTAGGAGTGCTTTATGATGTAAGCCTATCCATGGCTGCTGGTCCTCATGACTATGTGCTACTTACAATATCAGCAGTACAACCATGCTGAGAAACATGGGCGGAGAGCTCTCTTGCATTCATGTTCTACTTGTGGGTCTTCCGTGTGCAGCTGGTTGACCACTGTGTGAACCAAATGTTGGATTAGATGGACCTTCAGCTAGCCAGCCCAGCAGGGCTTTTCTGTTGTTTGGATTTCGTTCCCCTCACCCAAACTACCATGTAATTTTTGAATGTGTCTCTTGCCTGTCTCCTCCCATGCAGAATCTTCCCCTTTGGACTCTGCGGTCAGTGCGCCCAGTTCCTACCCATCCATGAATGAGATGTTTGGACGCAAGAGAAAGAAGCGCACCAGCATCGAGACCAACATCCGCTCCACGTTGGAGAAACGGTTCCAGGATGTAAGAGGAGCATCCCATTGCGCATCAGAAGTGGGGGAGGGCTGGTGGTGATGTCACAAGGCCATGCTCCAATGAGCTGCCAAAGGCTCGACTGGAAGGGTGACAGAGGATGGGCAAACAGTCCTGGAAGCTTGAATGGGAAAAGCAGCAGAGCGAATCCTTGCAAGATTCTGGAGTCTGCCAGCCAAGCACAGCCAGAGTCTGACTCACTGCTCACGGCAAAGCCCCGAGCTGCATTTCTGGCCTGATCAGCCCCAGGATAACCAGGGTGGCTGTTGGGGGAGAAAGCTGGAGCTGTGCTGAGACCGAGGAGAGACAACTCAGTGTCTTCCTTCCTCCATTCTGCAATCTCACGTGGCTCACTCCAGGGCACTCCATGACATGACAACAGGAGGCTCCTAGCTCAAGATGAGTCCTTTTTCCTCAGCTGCGTCCTGAGTTGTCCTGTCCAGCATTGTTTGCTTCAGAAGGGCTAGTTCAGCACAGTTATTATATTTTGGCATCTGATTGATGGACATCAACCTAGGTTGGGTCATCCCAGGTCCACCACCAACACTACCTGTTTCCTCCATAGCTGCTGTTGTGAAAAGGGAAAGAGAGAACCCATCTCTGTTTCATGGGTGTGCTCCGGGGAATGAGAGAGATGCGTGCATTGCACTTAAATTGGGCCCTACTGGTACAGGAGGGAGCTGAAGGGCAGGTCCTTGGTGGCAGACTCCCATGCGGTGCTCGCCCTGCCTCTGAGCAAGCTGTGCCATTGGATCCGCCTCGCTCATGTTGGCCTTTGTCTCCACAGAACCCCAAGCCCAGCTCGGAGGAGATCTCCATGATCGCTGAACAGCTGTCCATGGAGAAGGAAGTGGTCCGCGTTTGGTTCTGCAACCGACGCCAGAAAGAGAAGCGCATCAGCTGCCCGATGCCCTCGCCCATGAAATCCCCCCTCTACAACTCCCGACTGGTGAGGGCTGCACTTCCGAATGGGACAGACTCCTGTCTCTTCCTTCTCTGTGGGGCTGATGAGATTAATGATGGCAGAGCATAGCTCGGATCCTTGCCGGTCCGCTCTCCGAGATCCCCAGTGGCACGTGATGGGAAGCCAGCCACAAGAAGGGCCAGATGAGCATTTTGCATTTGGTCTTGTCTTCATGCGGACACATTGGGAAGTCAGTTCTGCCTGCTTCTTGCCTCAATGGGATGGTGGTGTGACCACACAGTAAATGTTGCCAGTTGTATAGGCTCAAACCTAAGCACCTGCGTGGCATTCTGGCTCACAGGGAGCTGAAAGGCCATGTCCCTTGATTCAAACCTTGCATGGTGGCTTTGGGAAACCATGACTTCTCTCACCCCAACCCCATCCCATGTGTAATATCAGGGAATCCTATGGACCGACCTTACGGGATCATTGTCAGGGTTATTCAGCTAGTGTGTCATGAGCCCGGAAATGTTTAAGTCCTTAGGCAATGGGACATTCTAATGACAATGATGTGTGAAAGGCAGGTATCCAACTGAAACTGTGCACGACGGAGGACCTCAACCAGGTGATACAACCCCTGGGGCCAGCAGCGAGGGCGCTGAGTCAGTGGCAGGGAGAGCACCGTTCCCTGACTCATCGGTCCTGAGTCAGTGAGGCAAGCGCCCTCCCATGACTCAGCATGTACCGCTTCCGGCAGGTTAATTCCTTCTCCCTTGGCATTGTCTCTGGATGCCGGGGAATCCCAGCTGAAGAAGCTGTCCCCCAGGGGTGCCCACAGCAGCAGCAGGTGAGCAAAAAGGACAGTTCTTGTTCAAGATTAGCGATGCTGTAGGTAATTAAACTGGTCTTCTGGATGCTGTAGAGTTTTATTTTTGCACTTTGTTCCCTTCCAGTTTAAACTTGGCATCTAGCTTTCAAGAAAGATATTCAACTCAACTACCAATATTCCAAATAAAAAGCAATACTTTTAAGCCCAGAATAACCCCAGATGTTCAGTGGTTAGTGTGATGGACTGGGACTGGGGAGGCCCAGGTTCTCATATCCAGTGAGCCATGAAGCTCACTAGGGGCAGGGGGCTTTGGGCTGGTTACTTGCTCTGAGTCTAATCTTCCTCACAGGGTTGTTGTAAGGGCAAAATGGGGTGATCGCTGACATTTTTATTAATGATTTAGATGAGGAAGTAAAAGGAACAATAATCAGACTTACAGCTGATACAAAACTGGGTGGAATAGCAAATGCCTGGGAGAACGAATGGAGATCCAGAGCAATTCTGATGAACTTGAACACTGGGCTGAAAGCAACTAAATGAGATTCAGTAGGGACAAATGCGAAGCGCTCCACCTAGGAAAAAGAAACCAAATGCATTGATCCAAGACCAATGTATCAGTTCAGGTAGACCACCCAGAGCTGTGCATGCTTACTCAGATATTTGTCCCACAAAATACAATTTGTTCTCCAATGCACGTGTACAGGATTGCGACCCGTGGCAATCTCACGCACCAACATACATATCAAGGTGTCAGTGGGGGTGTGGAATTAATTCAGCACCAGTAAAGCACCAGTCATTCCAGCTGGCTAGAGAAACTGTAGGACTAGACTCAATTAGAGAAAGGTTAGTTGATTTAACATGTGTTGATTAATCAATTGACGATGGATTAAATTGGTGCATATTTAGAGAGGGGGCAGCTCTAACTCACTGCCGTCTGATTGGATAGACTCATCCAGTTCTGAGGAAGAGGCAGAAAGTAGACTTCACAGTTCCAAGGTCACCTGGTGAAGAGTCTCAGACTGGCCCTGAAAACCAGCCTACCCTGGAAAAGGAAGGAGACATCTTGGAACTGTAGAAGGTGGTGGAGACCGGCAGGAGTGCCTTGTCCCCATAAGGAGATGCCAGGTGAAGCAAATGGACCAGTTAAGGAGTGGCCCTCATCCAAGTCTTCAAGAAGCAGGAGCTGCCCAGAGGATGGAGTCAGGACATTCCTGGGAAGGAGGAGATGTTTCAGCTTTGATTCAGCTCTTCTCATCAACAGATGCTATTCTCCCATCCCCAAGAGAGCACTAGTTTGATTTATACTTGCAAGCTGTAGAGCTGTAATAAAAGGGCTGTGCTTTGAAGGGTTTGTCCCAGTCTGCTGGAGAGGGAACGAGGCGGAGACAATAAGCTTGTGGCAATATGTTTGCATGTGAGCAAAAGGCATTGTTATGAAGTGTACTCCACTTGCTTTGGTTTTAGATGGACACGTGTCATCTTGGAAGGGGTGTACTCACCTGGCTGTGAGAGCCATGGCAGGGAACTCCCTCTTTTTATGCAATCTCAGACACACGCACATATCAAGTGACAGCCAGGTGCTTGCCTTTTTCCGTGTGTATAAGCCCTTGTGTTTAACGATCACCTGTCTGTTTAACTGGAGCATGTGCTTCATCAATCAAAAAGTGTTTTAATTGGTGAATCCAACTGAACGATCAAGTCACAGTCATATTCCTTAGATACGTGAAGGAAGCAGCTAACAACCAAGAGCTTTCCTTTATTTGAGTTAATGCACCCCAGACGCCAACTTCTCTCAGCCCAAGGGCTGAATTCATGCTTCGGAGAAGCTCTCACAGGTCTCACTCCAACAAGGGAGTGATCCAGTCCAAACTGGGGACAAAATATCAGCTTGTTTCTTACTGTAATTAATTTCAGCTTTTGGGAATGAGGAAATCCTGTGTGAAGGCAGGGAAACTATTGTGGGAGGGAAGGTGTACAGCCTTCTGAGGAACCCCAGGGCACTAGATTTGGCCTCCAAGCCTGAGTTCCAACACCCTGTTGTACAAACTTACTTGGGACTAAATAAGTCCCGGTGGATTCATCAGAACTTCTGCACATGTCTACATGAAGAAGTGTGCTAAACAGCCTTTCTAGTTGCATACTATTTCAATTATGTGATGTATAACCCAAGACTGAGCCTTTAACTGTTCCCCCAAATGATCCTTACCTTGTCTCTTCCCTCTTCCAGGTTTCTACCTCAGGATCTTTGGGTCCACTCTCTGTTACGCCTGTCCACAGCACTATGCACGGTGCAGGTACATCCACTGAGAGAGCTTTTCTCCAAGGGCAGGGGTGTCACCTTGGTGCCCCTGGGCACACCTGTTTAATCCCCCCATAGAAGTGCATGGGTGGCATTGATTTGCAGGGGAAAGAGTCCTGACGTTGCAGTTGGAGACTTCGCTTCCCCTAGGGCAACCCTGTTCCCCCACCACTTGGACGGTTGAGCTGCCGTCACCAGGAGTCGCCGGGGGAGTCTGTGTGCATCTCCCCTTCCCAGAAGAAGGTTGGCAAGAGGGGTGGGTGCCCAGAGCAAGGAGGCAGCCTGGCAAGCTGCAAGGGAAAGCACCAAGTCCAGGTGCCCTTGGCCAAGAACTGCAGGGCTGATGAAAGGGGAAGCCAAGGATTGATCCGAAACAGCCAGTCCAGCCTTCTGATGGTTTCCTCTGTTGCACAGTGACATCATCCTGTTCTCCGGGCAGCTCCAGCCGGCCCTCCTCCCCCAGCTCAGGAATCCATGCCAGCAGCCCCGGCATGTCCCAGAGCAACTCCAAAGCGGCCATCAGCTCTTCAAGTTTCAACTCTTCTGGGTAAGGCCGTTGGGGACATGAAGCCCCTGACCGTGATCACATTGAAGGAAGAACAGAGATGGGAGGCAGGCCAAGCAGTAGTATAACGCATCCTCCAACTGCCCACTGGAGTTGCTACCTCTTGGACCACACCTCTCATCATCCCCAGCCAGCAGTGCTATTGGCCACGTTGGCTGGGCAGGCTGGGAGTCGTAGTGCAATGTATCTGGGCCTGGGGAAGACTGTGATAAAGAAAAGGCCTGCCTGAGCATAACTAAAAAGCACTTTTTTTCCCATTCCTGGGAAATTCTCTTTCCCGGGAGTGGGAAAGACAGGCAATTGTACTGAGAATTTTCTCAATCACATAGCAGGGCAGTTAAAAATGCCCACTGGAAACTTCAGGGTGCCTTCACACTAGCCTGACCTTTAGAATGGCCATCTTTTGACCATTTTTTATGGTTTTTAGATAGCTTTGTTGCTGCATTCATTTGAGTACAGGTTGGCTTGGTTATTTTTACTTATTTCTTGCAAATTATTTTCAGCTGCTTTTATGCTGGAACTGTGTTTTCTGTTTCCTGTGCTTTTTTCAAACCTATTTTGTAGCAGTGATAATGTTTTAACCCAGCCTGTCTAATGTGGATTATCAAGGTATTGTTGAGACTTTTTAGGGTCACTGTGCCTTTCATTTAAAACTTCCTTTATGTGAGTTCGGGCAAAGGCCCCAGTTCCCATCCCCAGCACCTTCAGGCAGGGCTGGAAATAAAATCCTGGAGAGCTACTGCCAATCAGGGTCTGCAGTGCTGAGCAAGATGGACCAATGCCCTGATTCAATATAATGCAACTTCTTCAAAACAGAAACAGGGTGAGTCAGAAGGGGCCTCCTGGGCCACCTAGTCTGACCCCTGGCTCCAGCCGGCTCTGCTCATGACATGCCTACCTACCATGTGCATGTCCAGTTTTTAAGACTCCTCTGCTCCCGAGAATGTGTCCTCTAGCGAGAATAATCTAACATATATATTTTGTGTCTTTTTGATGTCATTCCATGTGCGCAGCTCGTGGTACCGATGGAACCAGCCCACCTACCTCCACTGAAGCTCCATTTCTAAAGGAGAAACCAAATCTGTCTTCCTCTGCTATGCCAGAGAAAGGAAGCCTTAATGTCCTGCAGCAGATTAACTTCTCGGGAAACAGCAGCTCGACCGAATGTTTGGCGTGATGCTGCAGGTGCCTTCCATGGGTCAGACCCTGACCTCACCTGATCCGCTCAAAACTGCCACAGGGACTAAGAGAAGAACTGCTAACGGGATCCCCCACCCATTTGAGGGACGTAGGGACCTGTGAATCCCTTGTGCCACTGCATCAATCCATTAACTTATCAATCTCAGGCATTTTTCCTCCTGGTGCCTTACGATGTTTATTCATAGCTTATGGCTGATGATCTTGAATCAGAAAGGGTTGCGATCTTCTCTCTTGTTCATAAATACTTTCCTTGGTAGGCAACTATGGAGATGCATCTGTTTGCAGATCTAAACACCCCAGTGCACCCTCAAGGCATCCCTAAACTGAGCCAAATTAGATGCAGTAAAAAAAAAAGATTTTAATCTGGCTGTCATTTTGACATCCTTTGGATGCCATTCCATAGCAAAGTGACTTATTGCCGGGGAGTGATTCACTTAACCTCCCAACTCAAAATAGCAAAGGGTGTAGCTGCTGCTGTTGTTTTGTCACTGGTTTTCTGTTTTTTTGTTTTGTTTTTTTTTGTTTTGGTGGCTTAGATTGATGTCTGTTTTGTTCCACAAAAGGAAAAGAAGAGCAGGAAGCCCATATTTAAAACCAAAACTCACAAGAGACGGTCAAAAGGACTCTCAGGTGCCTATAGAAGACATTTACTTTTGCCCAATGCCTTGCATGTTAAATCCAAGGAAATAGCTGAAAGTTGCTTACCTGAATATACAAAATAAAGAGAAGCCGCCTGAGATGAAGGAGAGTGTCTTTTCTGCAGCATGTTTGGCAACAGTGGATGTTCTCTATAGGCACTTGAGAGGCCTTCTGACTCTCTCTTGATGGTTTCTGTTCTGTTTCACATACACTTTAAGATAGGAACCTGCAGTTTCTAGGGAACAAAAATATCATAGACATTAGGAATGAAAGGAAGAAGGATGATGTAGGGCTCCATTTTTTGCATAGATGCTCATTTCACCTGATCTTGCTTCCAGGCACAAGTGTTCTATTATTTTTTCCTGAGCAGAAAAGCATCTTTTTTGAATGCCAAAAATGTGCACTTCTTGAAGTACAGGGAAAGATATTTTTCCCCCATTGGCTAAAGCATGAAAAGACAGGTTTATGGGACAAATATTGATTCCAAAAGTGCACACCTGTGCAGGTGCACTGTTTTGACCCCAACTGCACCTCAGACAACTGAAAACATTCCCACAAATTAAGTGTAGGTTTATGAACAGAGCATGTGAACAGAAATGAAATTATCAGAGATTCATTGCATATTTTAATTATATTTGTAAACCGCTCTGAGAGCTTTATGCTATTCAAACGGTATATAAATGCTTTAAATATATAAATGCTTTGACTAATTGTGTCCCAGGCCATGGAGACTTCAGCTCAGGTTGATTGTGTGCAGGAAAAAGTCTTTCTTTTTATGCATTTATTTGGGAGAAGGTATTTTGGAAGGGCCAGGCCCTGAGGTACACATGTTCATTTTTGACGTCCATCACAGCTTTGATCAAACTGGGCTGGAAATTTTTCACACACACTAAGTTAAGCCATATTTGGAAAAGGCAAAATTAACTGGGTGCCTTGTGAAATTCCTGTGATGGAGATCTGAGTTCTAATCCCCACTTGACCCTAAAGTTCACCGGATGTCTTTGGGCCTGTCACACGTTCTCCACCCAACCAGCCTCACAGGTTTGTTATTTGTGAAGATCAAAAAATGGAGCTACATAAGCTGCCTTTGGTATGTAAGCTGCTTTCACAAGAGGAAAAAAGGTGGGATATAAATGCAATATAACAACAACAGAAACACATGTCCACTGTGTCATAACCTGAGTGCTTTTGACGGGGGGGAGCAATTAAGGAAAACATTTTTAGTACATGAAAAGTTAGGTGTGTGTCCACAAACCCAATTCTATAGAATCTCCACCCCATCCTTAAAAAAAAAAAAAAGGACCAGATCCAGGTGGGTAGGTGTGAAACTGAGTAGACCAAAACTGGTTACCATCTTTTCTAATCCATTTCACTACTTTCTTATAAGAAGTGGCTGCAACTTCAGAATGGGAAAATGAACCACTTTCTGCTCTCCAGAGTCTGGCTACACACACACCCTTTCCTCTGCTCCATTTGGCTTATATATTTATCAAGCTGTCAAAAATGGGTTAGAATTACTGCCAGGTGTGTATCCTTTTGCTCCAGATAAATAATTGTGCGGCAGATGGCCAGGGAGGGAGATTGGGGTCTGCGGAAGCTTCTATATGGCTTTTCCTCTGAAAATGCATCCTTTCCTTTAGGAGAAAGTTCCTCTGGGAAACGGATAGGCACAGATGCCTTGTGTTGCCCAGTTTGGCTCTTGAGAAACAGTCTCTGGAACAAGCAGGAGATGAGCTGACTGTGGGTTGGAAGATTCTCTTTCTGAAAGGCCATTTTCCTACGTAAGCCACATTTGCTCCTTCGAAGATTCTCACTGTCCACTGTGGGTCCATTTGCCATCATATTGATGGTGTTGAATGAATAGGAAGGTATCACGAGTCAACACCCCCAACCAAATTTGCGGCGTTGATGGCTGTTCTTTTCATTCTGCCCATGGCATTTTCATTTTAGCTCCTGAGCAGAGAACAGGGTCTGTGGTGGCCGTAGCGGCATTTGCAGGGAGACGTGCGTGTTGTAAATAGCTTCTCTGCCCTCCTTCCCATCTCCTGTAACTTTTACTTTTCTCTCTTTGGGAGAACAGTTTGTATAACTCAGGTGCGAATTTTGAAGATGTTATGTGCATATTGTTTGGATTTCATTAAAATCATTTTAAATGCTGGGAGCTTTTTTTGGATCAATGTAGGACGTGTTGCAGTGGGCTGAGGTGAGATTCCTTTATTCATGTAACTAAGGCCTGTTCTCATGACCCTTTCAGCTGTGTGGTGATCATGGAAACCAATTGGTCAGAAGCTGAGATGGAGCTGGAGGAGATAAGCAGGAAAGTTTGTGCTTGGGCGTGGAAGAGGACGCAGGAGGGGGTAACCTTGCGCAAACCTGTCTGCACATGGGCACATTCGGTGTAAGGCACCCACGTTCCACACAGAACATAGAAACAGAGCGAGTCAGAAGGGATCTCCTGGGTTATCTAGTCTGACCCCTGGCTCAGGCCTGCTCCATGTGCATGTCCAGCCTATCCTGGAACACCCTCACTGTTGGGGCTTCAACCACCTCCCGTGGAAACCCATTCCATGCCCCAGGGGTCCTAACCATCAGGAGGTACTTCCTGGCATCCACCCTAGATCTTGGTTCCCTGAGCTTTGCTCCATTGGCGCGCGTCCTGCCCTCCACTGCAGGGGGGAAAAGGTCACAACCCACCTCTGCATGGCACCTCCTCACATACCTGCATGTTGCTAAGAGGTCCCCTCTCCATCTCCTCCTCTCTGGGCTGAAGAGGCCCAGTTCCTTCGGTCTCTCCTCACATGGCTTAGCCTGCAAACCAGCCACCATCCTAGTGGCCCTTCGCTGCACCGATTCCATCCCAATTCCAATCCCTGCACCTCCTGCCTGAAACTTGCCAATGGCCCCGACAGCATGGACCCAGCCAGACTGCCTTGCAAGCTCACCCCACCCAACGAAACCGTTGCAACGGTGTTTTTCCAGGTGCTGTGGAAAACACGGGGGATTCCGCTGAGTCAGCATCTGGACTGCTTTGCTGCACTGCTGTCTGCAGCCATGAAGTCGGATGGAGAGGCGTTAGAAATAGTGTGGGTTGACCTCACAGCTGGAGCGATTGCTCTTACCGCTCCTGCTCTTGCCTTGAGGAATGTGGGCGAGAAGTTTTACAGGCACTGAGCTTCTGGGCAGGTAAAGTGGTGGGTCGTGCCTATCTGCAGGATGGTAAAGGCTCTCATGTGGCCTGTCACCTGGCCTGTTGGAGCCTACAGCGCTGCCCGCTCCCTGTCGCGTTCACACCGTAGGTGTGGGGAGGGAGGGGGTCCAAGGTGAACGTATGGGTTGTTTTTACTCTTCCATCCCATTAGATCCATCTTGCATGTTCTTCCTCTTGCAAGGAACCCCGTGGCTCTCAGAGGTCTCTTCCCCTCCTCACAACAACAGCCCTGCCAGGTAGGTTAGGCTGAGAGTCCCTGACTGGCTTTGTAGTGTGTCTGAGGGAGCATGAGTCCTCTCTGCAGGAACACACTGCGCTCCAAAGTCTCTGCAGAGGGGTCAGCTGCAGGCAAACCTTTTCTACCTTGCATCAACACTGGCACAATTTCACCCCGGAAAAATAATCCTGTGACTAGAAATAAATTGCCTAGAGTGACCCAGGAATGATCTTCCGAGATCTTCCAAAGAAAGTTGGATTTGTCCCCCATCACAGAAGCTTCCACCATGGGAAGTGCTGTCCTGGTCGGGTGTTTGGAAAGGATAAAGTACCCAGTAGTTTTCGATGCCCCTCTTCTAGGAGGATGCTCTGGGAACCCTCCTTGAAGGAGGTCAGGAGAGAGAACGCTCGGAGGGCCTTCTCCGTGGTGGCGCCCTGGCTGTGGAATGTGCTCCCTAGAGAGATCCACCTGGTGCCGAAGTTATATGCTTTTCGGCACCAGGTCAAGACCTTTTTATTTTCCCGTAATTTCAGTGTTTAAATATTTCAACTATGTTTTATGCTCAGTCGTGGATTATTCTAGGCTTATATGTCTTTATTGGGTGCTGGGTTTGTAAGCTGTCCAGAGATGTGCAACGTAATTGGACAGGATAAAAATACCCAAATAAAATAAAACATAAATGAAATAAATGCTCGAGATCAGATTTTGCAAGATGGCAACACGGGAGCACTGTGGGCTCTTGGAAGAACCCCAGAGAGTTTCCGTCCTTAGAAGCCTGGCAGCACCTTTGGTTCCAATGAATCTCCAGTGAGATTCGGTGTAATTTAAGAATTACAGCCCTGACAAAGGATGTCCCGATGATTATGCTGGAAACAAATGAATCCTTAGCAAGATACTTTACAGTGTTGCCATGCTGTTATTAATCAATTAGCACACTCCTTAGAAATGCAGGCCTCTGTTGCACCA